TTAATGCTAACAGAACCCTTTTGCATTAGTGAAAGTTTTGAGAAAAACTCTAAAAGTATATATTTATATGAATATTTTAATGTATATGAGTATTTTCTGGACTAACCTTTCCATCTCTTCATCATCGCCAATTTCAACACGTGTCAGTTCTTCGTCACATCTGCCCTGTTCGACATTACATTCGTCTTGCTCACTCGCAACAGTGCCATCTATTACTTTTTCTACCACCGAAGCAATCACCTGCTCCTCCGTGAAACATTCAACCATCTCAACTGGTGATTGTGCTGCTGGTTCAAGGTCGATGTCCTAAGAACGTAATTTTTAGAACCAAAAAGATCCCTATGTAAGCAAAATAAGTGGGACAATTTTCTGATTCGATCCATAAATCCTGCGATTTCTCCGTTCTTCAAAACGACCATATTAAACACTGATATATCACTCCTTGCTCTGTTGTGAGGCGGCAAACTGTTTTAGCGGGGATCAAATAAACGGTTGTTTCAGTAGTAACTTTGAAACAGTGGAAAATGAGATCTAAGGTTGGCCGTACTGATCTGCCAGTACAAAAATTTTGATTTTACACTAATAAAATGGCTAAAGAAACTACAAAAAAAAAAACAAAAAGTCAGACTAGACTAGTCAAAATGAACATCCTGTTCGTCCAAACAAAGGCAAAACTCTCCCCCTATCCACTTTCAGTGAGAGGCGAGGACGCTTGGAAGTGACTCAAGTGCCAACACTAAGTATGTGCTGGTTAACATTCGCGAACATTTCCCAGTGATACCAAGTGTTTTGGAAATTTCTTTTGAAAAATGTAAACTATGAAAGTTTGTTTGGCACTGTAGCGCAGCCGATGAAAGGGACACAGTCGAACATTGTCAGTTGTGGGAAAGCAGTGAGTGCTAACTCAGATACCCAGATAAGCGAGCCTGTATGCGCATTACCCAATGGTACCAATCTGTGCGAGAAAATTAAAATAAAAAAAAAAAGATTTTATCCAAAAAATTTATCCAAATCAAAAATTTTCATTTTTCTGAAAAACCCGAAAACCAAAAATTTCGATTTCATACTTCCTAAAACTACGTAAAACATACTTGCTGCGCACACTGGGGAGCAGCATCAGTTGGATCCATGGAAATTTGCATCGGTGAATCTGGAGTGTTGCCTTCTTGAGATATACTATTACGAGTACCGTTATCATTATTGTTAAATCCTGGCGTTTCTTGCATGTTTACTAAATTCTCTTGCATTGAATCATGTGGCATTTCTTCGTCCTCGCTGTCTTTCTGATGCACAGGTTCACCAGATTCGCTGCTGCAGCTCACTGGTGGAAGATCCTCGTTGGCTGCTGTTATGAGGGGTTCTTGATCAACTGGTGCGGCGAGTGTTTCCCCTAACGCAGGTTCAGGCTTCAGAACAGCATGATCTTCCCCTGATACGCTGATCTGACATGGTTCTGCTGCTGCTGTTGCCGGAGTATCAGGTGCTACAGCGACAGGGGACAATGAGGGGTGGTTGCCCAATCGGGCAAAAACAGCTTGCAGAGCCGAAGCCATTTCTTTGATGCGTTCTGAGTCCAATTTCGTGATGGGTACACAGGAAGTGGAGGAG